ACTGAAGCCCGTGCCACGGTTGGCAAGGTTCGGGTAAGCAGCCCCCGTAGGAGAAGCCGTAGAGCCAGGGGCTGTCATGGGGCTGAAGGAGGACGGGGTGCCTTGGAAAGTCCCCATGCTGAAGGAAGGGGGCCGAGTCTTCACCGTCTGGGACGTCACTTGCTGTAAGAGAGCAAGGAACAGGAGAGGAAGAGGAGAGATGCAATTATTCCGAACCTCATCTTAACTAGGGTGAGAAGCCGCAGGACTGGCCCCCACGGAGAGCACACACGGACACGCAGCATTGCTCCGTCACGCGGCCAGCCAGCCGGAGCAGGTTGATTTGCAATGGCGAGAAGGGTCTGTAAGGCAGCGGGGACTCGGGGCCTGCACTGTTCAGGCTTTGCTACCTGGGGTGTGAACGCTGGCCGTGTCCCTGGAGCCCAGCTGGTTCCGCTGACCTGAGCTGGGTTGGAGTGGCGTGAAATCTGCGCTAAGATCCGGCCCGCTGATGAGGGTTGCTGCTGAATAATGTTCACAGGAGGTACCATGCTGCTGCTCCTGCAAGACAGCAGAGGCACCCTCAGGACACGAGGCATCGCGCACAGGGCCAAGAGGCACAAACACCATCCGTGCAAGTCACTGGGGGGGGTGGCGGAGCCCAGAACGTGGGGCGGTGGCTTTGCTCGTGCCTGTCGTGCTGCCCTGCTGTAGACACAACTGGCAGGAGCTGCTGGGCTTGCGGGCAAGGCCACTCTCACCCAGCTCAGTTCCTGGGCTTCGGTCTAAGCACGGCCAAGAGGCACAGCTATCCCACAGGCAAGCTTCGGCAGGCAACAGAGCAGAGGGATATCAGGGAATCGGGGCAAGTAGCTGGGGAGGTGAGGAGGGCGGCGAGGACTGGCACAGCAGAGGAGGGCCCATGCTGGTGCTGTGCACAGCCTCAAAGCTCCTGCACCTCTGACCAGGAGCAAAGCAGCACCAGGCAGGAGAGCAGGGGGGCAGGAGCCCTCCTCTCCCCCACTCCTCAAAGAAACCGATGCCTGGAGGGGCTCTCCCTGTATTTCCTGTGCACACCATAAAGGATCACATTTATAGACAGTCGCTGCCATGCAGAGAGGGGCTGGGAACACTCAGAGGGACAGACAAACAGAACAGGGACAGCTGCGGGACGAGGTAGAGTTGACGTGAGGCCAGGCAAAGCACAGCAAGCCTCACCTGAAGTTCTCAGCAGGTCGCGATGGGGTGAAAGTGTTCCCCTGCGTGAAGAGGGGCTGGTTGGCAGGCACTGTGCTGGCAGGAATGGCTTTGTTCTGCTCTGTGGAGAGAGGCTGATTCTCGTTAGGGCTGGGAAAGTCTCAGCAGCAGGAAGAGGGACAGGGAACCAGTTGCAAGAGACGTGCCCGCGTGAAGGAAGACTGTTTTGAGCCAAAGCATCAAGCATGACTGTTCCTTATCCAGACATGGCCTCCAGATGGTTTTGTAAAAGCCTGCTTAATTTGATTTCCTCTCCATTTTCTAATAAACTTGCATTAAGGTCCCCCCTGGGGTTAGAGCATCCACAGCCTTCGACGCTCTGACTAGAACACAGCGAACTGCTCTCTCGGGACAAGCAGGAGGGATCAGACTAAGGCAGGCAGCAAGACCAGAGCAAGAGACACCTTATCGCCCGCTCCCTCCCCGCACCTCTCCAGCAAAATGTTGGCTGCAGGACAATTCACTGCCACAGCAGCCCATCAGCGTAGAGAGGAATAATCCACCCAGCACCAAAATCAGCGCTATTCTGCAAGACCTGGGCCGCCACAACAGAGCCACACTGAGCCTCTGCACCCAGAACTGCTCCGAGAGACTTCGGAAAGAGCAAAGAGCGCTCGGCTTGAAGCTGAAATCAGATAAAGATGTGCCGTGCCCCTGGCCATGCCTCGCAGCCCAGCGCTGCCTACCTGTGTTGATGCTGCTGTAGATTTCGCTGAACCTTGGGTCCTGCTCCTGTTTAAAAAGGCTGTCTGCCTTCTCCAAGGGCTTGCTGTGCTCTGGGCCGGCAGCAGTCACAGGCTGAACAGGAACCTGGCAGCAGGTACAGATGCGAGCTGTTAGTACCTCAAGCACAAAGTCAGCGGTCTCGCAGCCAGCGCGGGGAACAGCCGAGGGCTTCGAGGCCGGGCTGCTCTCTGAGCTTCTCAGTATTTTACGGGGACAGCGTGGCAGCACTGAGACAGGCATCGTGGGGAGGGTGCCAGAGGGGCAGATCAGAATCAAGCAGACAGATCCAGCAAAACCCAAGGCAGAACAACCTTCCTCCCTAACCTCTCAGCAGCCTCAAGTCAATCTTGTGTGGCCGCCTTCAAAGCCCCAGCAAAAGGTAATTTAAATAACGCAGGACAACAGACGCAAGGAGTAACCGACCGACCCCCGTGTTGATTTACCTGTGAGTGGTCGTAACCAGACAGGCTCTCTCTTCCTGGGACCACTTCCAGCTCTGTCTGTTGTGGCGGCTGCTGCTGCCTAAAATAGAAAGTCTCTGTAACAGGAGAGCACCGGCTGCTAAAAATGATTGCCAAGGGAACAGATACTCTGTGGTTACACCAAGGATTCATTAGCCCAGAGGAGTTCATTGCTGCAGAGAGGAAAGTTTGGGTAGGAAGGCTATTTGACAGGAGGGCAGAACCAGCGAGAGAGGCATGGTAAAAGGAGCTGAGCACCTCCTGACCTTGAGGGCAGCTGGGCTGCGCCCATCTCCAGGGGAAGGTTGACACTCTGCCCCAGCTGGGGCCTCTGCATTGAGTTGGACAGAGCAGGCCGAGACTCCTGGCTCGAGTTCCTTTAAAGCAAAGAAAAAAGAAAAAAAAAGGTATTTTAAAAAATACCCAAACGAAAGCAAAATAGTTGGGTACTGGGTGTAGGAGAGCGCGCCTGTCTCAGACAAGATTGGAAGCTTTGCTTTTGCAAAACCTGTTCAAGTGAAGGATCCTTCCTCTCAGTTTCCACGGTCCCTGAAAGGGGGGTGGCAATGCAACACCAACGGCTGTGAGCCGAAGGGCTCTGCCCCCTCCCACTCAGTCAGCGAGCAGGGGAGCAATTAATAACCTACACCAGGAGCACAGCCAGACCTGCATCACCCTTAAAGCACAAGCAAAGGGTGTAGGAACCTGAAACCCCCCCAAGGTTTTCCATTCAGCTCTACACCAGACACTCCAGAGCTGGAGCCTGCAGGGACCCACCAGCAGTTTTAGGTTGTAAGCCCAAGACATTGGTGGAGTTCATTATGCTCTTCTGTTAATTGTCAGAAGCCAATTAATGTTTAACTCCCGTGAGAAAGGAATAAAAAAAAAAAAATAAAAAATATCCAGCGTTTTCTCAGCAGTTCTTTTGCAAGCTGCTGCTTCAGTAGCACCCGATCTCGAAGATGAAACAATACAGATAACCTCGCAAAGACGCACGGAGATAAAACGCACCTCAAACACGATCAGACACAGATTGCTGCTTTATCTGCTCTGAATTTATGCGGAGCTTTTAGAAGGCATAGCATGGATGTGCGAATGGATGCGTGTGGAATGAATGAGTTCAAAGAGATACCTCGAACGCCGGGACAGGAATTAAGCCCGCGTCAGACCTGTGTCAGATTCCAGCCCTGCACTTCCACCACAGCTCTTTAAAGCCAGAGGGATTTGTCACTGCTCAACTCAATACTTCCTCATCAGAAAGCATCAGCTTGCCAGCTGCAGGAAGGGAAGAAGCGCTACCTGCACTCTACGACCTTGGCTCCTTGCAAAAAAATAAATAAATAAAAAACCCCCATAATCCTGGCTTTTCACCTGCCCACAAGCAATCTGGCTGCCTGTTTGCCTGGCTAGAGAGCCTCCATCTGCTGCACCCACCAAGCCTGCAGTTACAAAACACATGCAGGCACATTCATTTTTTTTTTCCCCCCCTCTATTTCAGTTGCTGCTCTTCTGCAAGGGGCCTGGAGCTCGCTCATGGGAAGAGAGAGCAGCTCTGGTCACTCCCAAAGGGGATAAACCAACCCGATGGGAATGGTCAAGAGAGAGAGAAAAGAAGGGAGCAGCAATGAAAGCAGTGTCCCCACTGGAGCTCATTTCTGAATCCAAGGACAAAACTACAGCAGTGGAGGAAAAAAAAAATAAAATTAAAAAAAAAAATCGATCACCTGCACATAGCCATCTTACCCCCTGGACTGCCACAGGAGCCCAAGAGCTCCATTCAAGGGCAGACTTCACTAATATTAGCTCTGAATGCAAACACACAGGCAGGAGACTCGCTCCAGTAACCAGAGTTAAAAAAAGACACTGCTGAAGCTGAACGTTGGCAGCTTGCTAACCGGGACAGCCAAAGGAATTAAGTTTCTTGCACTTTATAGTCCTCTAGTGCCTGCCACGGCCCGGGAAAAGAGCGCTCACGGGACTTCGCAATCTCTCCAGGGCCTGCGCAAATTGTTGGGAAGCTTGGTGAGGGGGGAGAGGCCAAAGCTCCCGCAGTTCTGTGCTGCTGGTTATTCTGGGACAAGATCCCATCAGGTTCGTGTGCTATCACTGGTGGTTGGCAAGTCATTTCCATGTACATACTTGACGTTGGTGTTGGTACAGATGATGTACTCAATTTCATCCGAGTAGGGGTTCTGGAAGGTAAAGGAGCTGGTTCTCATCCAGAGCCATTCCCGGTTTTTGGATCGGAATCGGAACATGACTGACAGAACCTGGCCTTTTAACTTCACCACCTAAAAAAACGTAATGCCATCAGTAGTACCTGATAAAAGAAGGTGTTGAAGAGCAACTTGCTTCTGAGCACAAGCCACCCCCCGCTAAAACCTCGTGATGGCCCTTCGCCTCAACGCCTGCGAGACCATGCCTTGGCTTTCCCCAGCTAAATGGCCCTGCTGCTGCACCCTTAGGCTGTTTTGATTCCTGAATGATATGGGAAGGGAATCGGATATCCCCTTTTTGGCTTTCGCTTTTCTTATCTCTTTGCACTGGTGAGATGTATGAAAAAAGCCTCCAGCAAATGAAGCACATGCTGTTGCTTCCGCTTCCAACTATTTGGACAAATGGATATGAGCAGCTACTTTTTGGAGTCATGAAAGCACAGGGGCAGTCTTACCTGCCCTGCCACAAGTCCAACGCCCTCAGAAATAAGAGTAACGACAACAGGGCAAGCAAACCACATCCATTTCGAGTTCTGCAGCACTGGGCTGGGCCCTAGAGATGAACCAGGGTTTCAGCCACAGAAGCATGGCATTCGAGTAGGCACTTTGTAGCCACGTCTCTGGCCCTAAAAGCAGACTGGACTAGCAGCCAGAGGATGAATTCAAGAGTTAGACATCAGATGCTTCTGTTTTGTTCTGCAACATTTACAGTATGGTGACTGTATCTGTAACTGTTTGCCATTGGGCAAAGGAGAAATAGCTACAGTTTATTTTTCTCTTGGTTTTTCCAATTCATTTCATTGCTTTGCAAGCACCAAGACAGATTCCAATCCGCATACCACGCTGCATGAAAAGTGGTAGCTAAAGTGGTTTACCTGCTGAAAACTGTCCCGCAAAAGCTGCTGGTCTTCCGGGTGGCAGAAATCTACAATGTCTTTCCCCAGAAGTTCCTGATTTTAAAGGAATCGGGAGAGAGATCAAGTCAGTTCATCATCTGGCAGGCAGACTCCCTCTTTCAGGTCTGCCCCGCTAATTCCACTTTGGACAGGTACTTACTGCTCCCCCCCAAATCACTGTTACACAAACCAAGCGCAGGAACGGGCGTGCTGTATTTTAGAGAAGCACAACAGCGGTTGACTATCGTTTGATCTCGAACATAAATGGAGGCAAAATTGATCTTAATTGACATTAGACATAATCCAGAGCCACCCGCCCCTCCAGCGATCAAAGTACTTGGAAAAGCACATGAAAAAAGCAATGGGTGGAAGAGAAACACATGGCTGGTTTCGGCCCTGGGCATCATTTTATCAGATCTGTTAGACAAGCAGAGCTACGATGTACAAGAGAGGGAGGAGGGAAAAGTAAGCCTGAACAGCAGTTCTTCCTTAGACAGCTCCTACCACTTTCTCACCTGCGGCTGGTAGCCAACCGTAGCCACGCAGCGGTGATCTATGAAGGTGAAAATGCCTTCGGTGTTGTGTCGGGAGATGAACTCTGTTGGCTGACAAACATTGTTCATGTCTGTGCAGTTGGGTGAGCTAGTGACCTGCAAGGTAAGACAGGTACGGTGTTAACTACCGAATCTGGCGAGAGCTGCTTTCTCCTGACCAGCCAGCCCTGCGCTCGGGTTTGTGGCAATTGGGGAACGTCTTCAGACAGAAGAGTTTAACTCTGTGGACTTTTAGGACAAGGCAATGTTGAACCATCAGAAGATGCTACCCACCTGGAGCCTGCCAATAGCCACAAGGCAAAACTTGCTGCCCTGGCCAGCGTCCGGGTCATCATCAGGCAGCGACACACCTGCGAGGGGAGTGCCAAAACACGCCAGCAAGGTTAATACAGGAAAAATTGCTAATCTCAGAGGAAAAAAAGACATGCAGTTCTGACTTCAGTACACCCCTCCACCCTGTTTTGTAATTCAATATCCTTTCCCATGAAGGAATTGGGTAAATTAAGTTGCCTCCCCCTCCCTTTTTTTGCCAGAAGGGTTAAAGATCTCTGCTTTCAGCATAAGCCAGCATATCAGACAGCGCAATGCTATTTTCAGCCTCTACAGCATCCCACTGTTCAGAGACAAAGGTCTCTGATCCAGCATCTGCAGAAATTAGTTCAATCCTAAAATAAGAAAAAGTGATAAGAAACATTTGGAAAGCATTTGCTGGCACACTCAGTTCACGGAATGGACTCAGACCATATGTGCTTAAAAACAGCCACAACTGAACACTTCAGCTAAATCCTTACCTGCAGGGGGCCAGGCTTTTATGTAACCCGTGCAGTGCACCACCACGTAGTGAGGTTCGCCGTCTTTTGCCGCACCTAAGCCATTCCTTGGGAGAGAGAAACAAGTCTGATTGTGCTATATATTAAACTGGGGTAAGGTCAAGCAAGCTTTCTACTTGTATTTTAAAAAAGCTTCCACAGAACGTCTTCAGGGTAAAAAACAAAACAGAAGAAAGGCTTAACACAAATGCAAGGGGTCCAAGAACACAACAGGTTGGAATCTATCTCAATTTCAAATTAAAAAGGCACACCCTACGCCAGAGCCCAACAGTAACAGCGTGAAGAACGTACGGTTTTAAATTGTCTTCAAATCCAATCTTGGAATCAAGAAAGATCAATCTTCCCCAGGATTATCTCCCTCAACATAGCGGTACTGCAGTCCCTCCACCAGCAGATCTGTAAACTCTGCTATGAGCCATACTAGCCTACGCGCTCACCACCGCGTCCCCCACCACTCTGATGGCAGAGCTGCAGCTCCGTCTGTTCCTAGCAACGCAGCGCGCTGGCCCGTAGCTTTTGGATTATTTACCTGCAGCGATTCCTCATAAAGCTGAGACGATTTACAGAGACTGGATCCACTGAGCTGTTGCCGCACCTGTACCAAAATCAGAAACACGAGGGGAAAGGCTTTCATCTTTCTTGGTCAACATCAAAACAATTTGGCAATCTCGAATGAGAGGAAGCTCTCTATGAAAGGGGATGAAGCTCTGAATCTCCTCCGTACAAGTGAAAAGCCCTCATTCTACAGACTTCGAGAAGGGAGGTGACACACAGGGTCAAAACAAATTGTTACTTGAAACTGGATCTTCTACAACAGTCTTGAGAGCTATTGTAGAACAGGGCAAAGAAAAAATCTCAAGAACACAACTGTGTGGACAGCTCAGCCATGTTATATCATGTCTATGTCAGAATGAGCAAAAAAAAAGCTGAAATAAAAGCACGATGGGGCCAGGGAGCAAGTTCAGCTTCAGGCTCAAATGAGATTTCCCCAAGGAATCTCTTCATTACCTCATTCGGCAGATGAAAGATCTTCGCGAACCCATGCACATCCTCATGGACTGCTGGCCTTCCTTCTTGACAGTCCCCGTCTTTAAATCTAGGATGCGACCTAAAGAAAGAAGAGAAACCAAGATGCCACTGCAACGCGAGTCCTTTCACCCACCCAGGCGCCCGGTCACATATTAGGAAACTAGCAAGACACAAGCGTCACCGATGGTACCTTTAGATGCATTCTCGGGGGGGGCTGCAGGATCCTTGTTAGAAAGGCACCAGGGTTTGGTTCCTTCTACAAAGTGAAGGGTTTAATCCAAGTCCTCTGCAGGCTTTTACACTGCCCGCCCCCGCCAATCCCTTCGCAGGCTGCTGTACCTGTCAGTGCATTCTCCGACGTGGAGAGCTGCTCCCTCAGCTTGCCCACGTCATCCGGGTGCACCTGGTCGTACAGGGTGCTGCCAAACCATTCGGACTGGGGCTGGTTCAGGACAGGAGTCACAGAATCAGAGACGTAGACCACCCTCCCGGTCTCACAGGACACTATGAACAGAAAGCCGTCGGCTGCCTCTAGGATCAGGTGTTTGAGTTCCTGCGTTCACAGACAGACAGACACGCTCTTAACTCCAGAGCCAAGGAGGTGACGCCCTCTAAACCCACCCAGGGTGCCTATCTCCCCCCACCCACAATTTACTTCCCCCCCTTCCAACTGCAGCATTTCCCACAAAGCAAGCATCAAGCCAAGACCTGGTCAGTGAGAAAGGAGGGTTTGTAGGTGCCGTCAGTGGAGGTATTGCCTGTGCCACGCAGGGACTTCATGTGAGAGACAGCCATGCGCAAGATGGTCAGCTTGTCTGGCTTGCGGGCCAGGGCGCTGCAGGTGGGCACCATGTCTGACAGCTCCGTGATGTAGGCAGTCATCTTGTTCCTTCGCCTACGTTCAATCTCGCTGTGATTTTCCCTGCAAAAGGCCAGGGAGGAGAGGAGGAAGACGAAGTTACCAACGGGCCGGAAGCCTCAGCCGTTTCCACAACGTCAACGCTTCCACAAGGCCAGAGTGCAAAACACAGAGATGCGTCAGGGTCGTCAGGAGTTAGAAGGACTACAAGCGCCTCACATGCTGGGCGTGCACAAAGGAACGCAGGAACAAGTGCAAGGAGGAGAGTCTACAGTTGGACCTTCTTTGCTGCAGACAAGAGCCTTGCTTGAAATCACATCAGTTCCCTGGTATCTGGTGCAGGCAGCGAGCTAGGCTAAGCTATTTTAGCAGAGGAAGAAGCTTCCCCATCACTTCCACAACACTGCAGCAAGCCGAAGGATTTCTTCCTTTGCTACGGCCTCCGCTCTCAAAGAGGGGTTCACCTTACTCAGCTGAGAAAATTTGCTTTTCAACAGCACTGGTGCAGACAGACTAAGACGACTCACCCCACCCACTGTTTGCCCAAGGATGAATCAAATCATAGAATCATGGAATGGTTTGGGTGGGAAGGGACCCCTAGAGGTCACCCAGCCCAACCCCCCTGCAGGGAGCAGGGACACCTTGAACCACATCAGGTTGCTCACAGCCCCGTCCAACCTGGCCTGGAATGGTCCCAGGGATGGGGCCTCCACCCCCTCTCTGGGCAACCTGTTCCAGTGTTTTACCACCCTCACTGTAAAGAATTTCTTCCTTAGATCCCCCCCATCACCTTCCAGATACCCATGTGTCTCCAATAACTGTACAAGGAGGCCAGGGCTGCACCTAAGCTTGGGCACCTGAATTACAACAGATGAGTCTCGCCTCGCAGTGCTTTTATGAAGAAACTTCTTGGTCACACCAAGAGCCTTTTACAGTATCATGGCAGGAGGGAAAGCTTTAGAGGAGACACACACCCGATTTCTGTACAGATCAAGGCCGGTGGGGGCAGACCCTCTACAGGCACACACCGGGGGGACGCGTGCAGACCTCTAAAGCGGCACCGCGACGAACGCTGCCCACCTACAGCCCTTAAAGAGGCTCTTCACACACCTTTTTGCAAGTCTGCTCACGGGGCACAGTCCCCATCAACCCCCAGAGATCAGAACTGGACCTGTTTAGACTTGGTTCTTTTCATCCATGGGCAGTTTAACTGGGTTACTAAGGTGGGTTTTTCAAAACAGAACTTAAAAGCCAGGTTTCCTATACAGAAGGATGGAGCAGATGCAAGGAAGCACATGGCGGGAAATGAAATGAGATGAAAGTGTTGGAAGGAACATAGACAGGCAAGTGAATTAAAGAGGATAAATACAAAAAATAGAGCATTTATCACTACCAGGTGTGTGCAATCATTCAGTGACCTTGCTCCTGGCTGCAAGAGATTGATATTCAGGAGAAGTGCTTCAATTCTCACACTCACCTTTAATTCAGTTCCTCCAGACTCACATGCTCAAGTGTGCACATGAAGCTACTTTTGCTACAAAAGCTACTGGGAAACCACCAGGCATTTTACCGGCCCCACTGCCAAATACTCTTGGATGACAGCAACAACTGACTACTGGGGACAGAGGAAAGGGTCACTACTTCATTGGAGGAGAAATCCCCGAAAAGCACTGCTGTGTGCTGTACTCACAGGCCCCACCTCTAGCATTGCCTTATCTCCTCAAATATTTAAGCTATGCAATACTGCAGTTAGGAAAGGCTGTGTTCGGGGGGACATTTTTTGTTTTAAAACCAGCCAGCAGGCAATAAACTGACCAAATTGTGGCATTCTCAGCGCCCATGACAGTCTTTTTAGTCCCGTGTGTTGCTTAAGAAGGAGTCTAGGGTGGAACAGCCCTAAGAAGCTACTGGGTAAGTTTGCAAGACGGCAAGCCACAAAGCAAGCCATTCCTCACGAATTACCAACCCTCAGCTCTGCAGCAGCAACAAGCCGTGGGCGGCAAGCAACAGAAACCTTGATGGCAATTTAGGCAGTTTTTATTTTGCAGCTGGAAACAGGGAAGGGTACGTTTAGAGCTGATATTCTGCTGCCGGGGAGATGCAGTCCTGACAACGGCGCCGTCTCAGCCAGCTGCAGCCGTGTGCACACTTTCTCAGGGTGCATTTCTGCATTAATGGCACAGCACTCAAAACGACTGCTTGGGTCATTTCAGCCACAGTCCCTCATTAACTCACGAACTACAAGTAGCAATGGCGGGGGAGGCGGGGGTGGAAGAAGCCCTTGTTTTCAGCAAGCCTACCTGTCCTGGAAGGCTTTAAGGGGTAGAAAAAACCTGAACTAATACACTTTTTAATGTCTGCTTTGATAGTACAACAGCATTCCTGGGACAAAACCTGACCAAGGTGAGCGCGGGCCACTTGGCACCTTGATCCAGCACAAGAGGAACTGGGGCAGGGCAGCAGAGCTACAGTACTCGGTGAAAGCAATGGCCCAACCACGCTCTACCCTGCCGCCCTTTGCAAACAAACCCTTTTGTGTATTCCCCAAAGACATCCTCACAAGGGGACTAAATGCCTTTCCCCTCCTAATTCCAATTACACAGCGATTTCCAGAAGTCTGCTCAGTTTCAAGTCCTCTATTGCAGCAGATGAGGGAAGGAGGGGGGAAAAAAAAAGAGAAGGGATGCCTAGAGAAACATTAAGGAAAGGAAATACTCTGCTTGTCCATGCTTGAAATCTCCATTCTCCTACCTGGCAAGTCTCTCCTTATCCGCTGAACTCTGTTCATCATCAGACCTAAAAATAAAATCAGCGATCTAAGCTAAAATGGAAAAAGTTTAAAGAAATGAAAAATGGGAAGATGTACTAGGAAACCCAGCCTACAGACACGTCTGTTTTGCAGAGGAGCGATTCCGTAAAACAAAGCAGTCATTAGTTTGCAACATCACACATTAAATGGGTGCCTGCTATCTACGGTGTTTTGAAGTTTTAAGACGCTTACCAAGACTGCAAAATAGGCAAGGGGTAGCTCTGCTTCACGGACAACCGAGGCGCAGCTTGTTCTGCGCAAGACTGGGTTAATAGCAGAACTGGGAATTCGGGTCCCCGTCACATTAAACTACTATTTCTTTAAAGAAAAAATAAATCAGTAGCCTCTTTGATAGTATTAACAAATCAGAAAAGCATATTAAAACCCCCCCAAATCCACAAACAGCGTAAGATTCACAGCTAAGAACACACACTTTCGTAACACTGCTACATAAACACCATTCAGGACAAGACAGGCGAGGTGGCTACACGACAAACAGCAGACAGAGGTTACGCACGTCGCCTACAAAAAGGCACACAGACGTCCCCACCAACCTGCGCGCACTTTCAGTTTTCAGGGAAGAGGAATCTGCAAACTTTGTTTTACAGAGGCTGACGGTAAGTTTTCCTCCTGGAGGTTTGGCTGCCTTGGAAAACAAACAATCCCCCAAAAGCTACCACCAGGAACGGAGAGGGTACCACGTGTGCCCAGTAAGGCAGGCACACGATCTCTCAAAGGCCGAGCACCTAAAGCATAGACTGCGGATTGACGGGGGGCAGGAGGTGGTTTTGGCATCAGTCAGCTGTGGTACCCTTCCACTCCAAAAGGGTTTTAGTACAGCGCTTAAAAAACAAACAAACAAAAAAAAAGTGTAGTCATGTTCGCTTCCATGCTCTGTTTTGCCTCACATCATCCGAGGAGGGAAGAACGCATTGGAAAATGAGGGCTGCCAGAGCTGCGAGGAACACGATACGAGCAGGTCCGGGAAACAGATCCGAGCGCTACGGGCAGGCCAAGGGGCACAGATGCAGCGGGGAGCTGCGCCACGCTTCTCCTACAGCTGCACCCGGGCTGTCAGCACGCTGACACCGCTGACGGCTTCGTCACCCTCCTCCCCTCCAGGAACCGCAAGCGATGATCTCTACCTTAAACC